GAACACTTTTATCTTTTGAATAAGAGTTTAGTTGGATATTGACTTTAGCCTTGGCAATGATTAACTTTGATTCTGAAAATCATACTTTATTACTTTCTGATGCCTACTATTATTATGAATTTTAGATACTTCTTCGTTCCAAGAACAGAGTAATTTGATCCTCTGTTATATAAATAGGTATGTGTAATATATCTGTATATATGATTGACTTGCATTTTCATTTGGTATACTCGGGCTCACATTACCACCTTCTTACCTTCTATTCATTTAAAAAAATGGTTAAACTTGGATTTGAAAACCCATTTTTGTCATTTCAATATTTTTTTTCATAGGAATCTCTTCAACATTCTAATCACTTTATTCCCACTCCCACATTCTAACCACTTCATCTTTCTGGAAATCTTAGTATGTCTGTGTTATGTTTAGTCTGTAAACATAAACATGTAGACATGTCTACTTCATATTTTTTGTTTTTTATATGTATATATACCAGCTTTTAAAATCTATGTTCTAATAGAGTCCCTATAACAATAGGTTATCTATTCTTTATGCTATTTTATAATAATTACTTGATCTTCTTAAATTTTACTACTAAAATTGGTTAATGTCTGTTCACATCTGAATTTTTGTCTAATAACCTTCCCGACCTCACAGCCCCTCTGTTATCTCCTTTGAGAACTGTAATAACACTCATTTTAAAGACTTTTAAAATTACCTCATTTCTCTTCCCCTGGGTTTGCTTCCTTTCTTTTGAGATGCTGACTGCCCTAGCTTTGCATTTTGCCTTTTGTTCTGTTGTTTTTGTTCATGCCTTGTAGATATTCTGAGGTCATGCAGTTTGTTCTTGCCGTGCAGTTGCGATAGTCTTCAGGTCCCTAACCTACTGCTGAAGCCCTTGGTGCACCCTCACAAGAGGACATGATAGTCGTTACTGTGTTGAGTAATACCCAGTTGGTTGGCAAACAGCTGCCCTTTGGAGCTACCTGAAGAATGTTCCTCTTCTCTTGAGTGCTAGCTCTCTCCAGAAACCCAAAACCTTGCTACAATTGAGCTACAACATAGCCAATGGACCGGTAGAGGCCCCTAGGACTTCGTTCCAACATAAGAACAGTCCTTTCTGATAAATGGGCACATTTACCATGTTTAAACGTTTTACCATAACTCTACCTCCTCCCAGATCTTAAGGCTAGAATCTTGAGTTCTCTGCCATACGAGAAATACTCTCCCTGGTGTCTTACCCTAGTGGAAGTCTGTCTCCATTCAAGTTTCCCAGACTGTCATGCCATCAACACGGGAGGGTGCAATACCAGGTTTAGTTCAAGCTAGGAGCTTACAAATGGCTCCAATTTGTTCCTTTTTGAAACCTACTTCTCACTTCCTGACACTTATGGCATAGCTAGATTTCCAAATCTTCAAGCTCCACGTACTGCTGTTTGAATGCATTTCCTAGTGACAATGTATGCACTGCCCCGTTTTATCCCCCAATCCACCGCAATACACTCTTTCTGTAATCAGTACACCCACCATCCTCCTCACTGCATCCTTGTGCATGCTGCTCCCTTCTCTTTCATAGTTTACTATTTCTTCGATGGGAGTCAGTTTTTCACTCAATTATCTATAGGGCTTTTGTTGTTGTATTGTTTTTATTATTTATTTATTTATTTATTTATTTATTTATTTTTAGTATTTTTAGTATCCTATTCTGAACACTTGAAATAGCCAGAGTTTATGGTATAAATCTTCTCCTTTGACTTTAATAAGTTTTTCAAAAGTGTTTCCACCAAATACATCTATAATTGAATTTTTGATACAGCTTGTGATTTGAATGATATGATGCCATCTACTAGTATTTAGGCGTATTGCTAAAGTAACTATGGATAAGTCTAGTTTTTGATATTACAGACTGACTTTTCTAAAACGTTGCAACGTGTTTTACAACAAGTATTACAAGTTCCTAAATCTTCCTTTATTGTGGAGTGGTTAAGAGCACTTGTTACTCTTGCAGAGGACCATGACTCACAATCAACTGTAATTCCAGTTCTAGGAGATCCAGTGCCCTCTTCTGACTTCCACAGACACCAGGCTTATGGCACACATACATTCACTCTGGAAAAACAGTCATGCAGTTAAAAATCTAAAGTATAAGACACACTTTAAAAATTATCTAGTTCTCAGAATTGGTGAGATCAGGCACAATGTCCTTTGAATACTTAAATGGATCTATCTATACTAAAGCAACTACTAGATTCTGCCAGCCAACTTCAAAGTCACACAGGCTGTGCTGAGGATTTAATAAGCAGCCTTTACCAGGGCTTTTGAAGTCCTCAGTGTATTTGACCTTGGGCTGAACTTGTAGAGTATTTATCACGTTTGCCTAACACTACAGGTGATCCCATAGACTAGCTTGACACCATTGAGTGGAATCTTTTTAAGTAATATTCAATGTAATTGAAATATATTTGATGTGTTCCAAGGAAAGGCAGTCAATTAGTTACAAAGCTTAGGAGCTTGAAGAGGAAGCGTTGACCTATGTGTGGCAGACTGAAACAGGAAACAAATATTAGAAGAGCCCTTATTTCTTAGAAAATGAAATCTTCTTTTTAATAATAGCTTTTAAGATTATTAACTCCAGAACCAGGTATGGTGGCACACACCTTTAAGCCAGTGGAGGCAGGTGGAGCTCTGTGAGTCTGAGGTCACCGTGGTATACAGAGGGGGTTTCAGGGCAGCCAGAACTACAAAGAAAGACCCTGTACCCCAAAACAAACAAGACTGTTAACCTTCTAAGTGAGTTAACCTTATCCCTGCTTTTTTGATACAAAGTCATCATCTTTTTAATCCATAGCCTATGGCAGCACCCGATAGAACATAATGATATAAAGATCTACCTTTTGCCTAGATTTCTCTATCTAGTATGGAGTGGTCTATTTTTCCTGAAAACATACTCTGTCCTCACCTCTTATGTACTCTGACATGCTGCTTAGGGATATGCTGTAACAATGCGTAGGTCCCAAGACTATTTTTTTGTTTTTGTTTTTGTTTTTGTTTTTCGAGACAGGGTTTCTCTGTGGTTTTGGAGCCTGTCCTGGAACTCGCTCTTGTAGACCAGGCTGGTCTCGAACTCAGAGATCCGCCTGCCTCTGCCTCCCGGTGCTGGGATTAAAGGCGTGCGCCACCACCGCCCGGCCCAAGACTATTTTCTAACCAGGCAGCAAAGTGAGATTTAAAACAAAAACAAAACAGAGAACCTGCATAAAGAATGGGAAGCTCCTAACCCCCAAATTAGGAGGAATTGAAGATGACAGCCTCTTCTCAAGCAACTCTCGGCAGTGGCACGCTGTCTTTTGCGTTTACACCTGTGAGTAAACGTTCTAAGCACAAATGAGTTTTCGCAGCCTCTGCCAGCAGCCATAAAGGAGGCTGCTGTTCCAGGAGACCCTGGCAGATTGCTGCAACACAGCACAGCAAAAATGCAAGGCCTCAACCGGAAGTGTGAACTGTTGTAGCTCCAGGCAGGCGGGCATGAGGAAGCTGACCTTACCCTTGAGCACTGTAATGGGAACTTCTGCCTGAAGTTCCGGGTCACCCGCTGGCTCAAGGCTGTTGTGGGAAGGGGCATGTAACCATCCAGGCAGAATTTGGCTGGCCTCAGAGCATAATGTTTTCTAAGCATTTCCTCTACCTTAACCTGTTAAAAAAAAATGACCAGGCTCGAATCCGATTGCTTTGCAGAGGGTTCAGGTGGAAGTGCAGCCCTGCAAACCTTTGTTGGAATATCCTTGGCAGAGGCCAACCTAGGCTCCCAGCTCTCCTGAGGAGGAAGGTTGGCTTTAGCACAAGCTCCATCAGCTGGTGGAAATAACTACCAAGGCAGCAGTGCACACAGAAAGTATTTACCAAGGAGCCCGGAGTTCCCAAATCGATAAAGTGTGAGACCCAGACTACCCCAGTGACCATCAGGGGTAATCCTGTGGGACAGAGCCTATGAAAGGCTCTGCTAGCTAGCTCATGGGACACAGAGATAGAGTCTTGGAACCAGTTTGAGGCTCCGTGGGGCCTTGTGAGGTCCCACTCCCAGTGGCCTCCAAAATGGAGTCATTCCTCCCTTGGAGCTTCCACATGTACCAGGCATGGAGGGTCCTAGAAAGGAAAAATATTTTGGCAATTAGGAGACAGAAAAAAAATGTGTGAAGGATTTATAGCAACAATGAAACCTACCATAGTTTTGTTTATAAAAATAAGAGGCTTTAAGTCGGGCGGTGGTGGCATGCCTTTAATTCCAGCACTTAAGAGGCAGAGACAGGCAGATCGCTGTGAGTTCGAGGCCAGCCTGGTCTACAAGAGCTAGTTTCAGGACAGGCTCCAAAGCTACAGAGAAGCACTGTCTCGAAAAACAAACACAAACAAACAAAAAAAGAGACTTTAAAACCCAAATCCACAAATTTGAAATTTGAAAGTATTGATGATGAGTTAAATGAAACATAATAGAAATTAGATATTATGAATTCATTGAAATAATAGGTAAACAAAAAATAAATAAGCAGTTATGAACACAGGACTTACATAAGAATAGACTGAAAATATATGTATAGTGATTCCATTTTTAATTGAGAATTTTTGCATCTACTTTCATAAGGGAAATTGGCCTATAATTTTTTTTTTGTTGGGTATTCATGTGGTTTTGGTTTCAGGGTGACTGTGCCTTCATCAAATGATTTGGGTAAGTTATATTATGTTCATATGAAGCTTGATAGTGCTCTATACACACCAGTATTGAGTCTTCTGTAATAGTCAGTAGAGACAAATGTTTAAATTTTGCTTGCGAACTAACCTCTTTTGGGGTTTTTTCTGTCTCTAGAATTATTGCCTTGATAGTGTCTGACTGGCAAGTCTACCCAGTACATTCCACTGACAAGATCGTTTAATTTATGCAATGCAATTAACTTACTATTTGATGTTAGAGATTTTAATTAAGACTCTTCAACCCTTCCTCTCTCAAGTCTCTACCCTTTTGGCAGCAGTGTGCCACCAGGTTCTGTGGAACAGAAGAAGGGGAAGTTCCCGATCTGGCCAGAGTGGAGCGAGGCAGACATAAATGCTGAAAAGTGGGATGCAGGCAAAGGAGGGAAGGAGAAAGACAAAACTGGCAAGAGCCCCATCTTTGTAAGTAGTCATGACTGAGGCTTGTAGATGCGTGGGTGTGACTTCTCATGCTGTGCTTTGCACATGCTGGAGAGGGAGGCCAGGGTCTTGCACATGCCGCACAAGTTCTGCCCCTGAGCTGCACCCCAGCATGAGTTTGCCTTCCTATTTCTCTCCCATCTCCATCCCAAAGGGAAAGCTTTTCTTTTCATCCTGATCCCTTCCTCCACTTTATTTTCCCCAGCCTTTATACTGGGAAAATGGGTGGGAAGAAATATAATGGAGTCCTTGAGAAAGATGAGAAAAAAAACGAGATAAATGAGCAACTGGTTTTGGACATCAGAGAACCCAGTATTTGCCTCCTTAGCAAAAGTCCCATGGTATTTGCTTCTGCATCCAATGTTCAGCCTTTGACTAACATGAGAAGCTACAAAATGAAACAGACACTTGGCTACTGTTCCAGTCTCTGTTTTTCTCCCATCTTTTCACACAAATCTGTTTTTATCTGAATAACACATATATATCCTAAAGTCTGATCTGCAAGGTATTTTCACCATCACAGGATAAAGACACTCTAAGCTCCCAAAGGCTTTTTTTTTTTAAGTTCCCTGAACACTTTGGATTGACTCATCAGGTTGCTTCGCAACTCCATTGCTTAACTGTAGATTTACCCAATCTATCCCACTGCTGTAAAATCTGAAAAACACTAACAGAGACAGGCATCCACACACAAGCAAGCACCAGATCCCCACATGTTTTTAATTGCTGCTAATCATTATAATATTTCGTCTTTGTTTGAACTCAAATGCTTCACAGGCCCTTTGAATGTGAAAGGTACAATCATTTTATATGTGGTACCAAGAATGCATTGCCTAACACATTGCTAATCTGCACATTAAAGTGATAATAAAGAGAGCAATTAATTGTCTTTACTAAATGTCTTTATCTTTAGTGAATCAGTCACTGAGATTCTGCATTGTGTTAAGAGAATTTAAACTTTAATATTTACTATTTCAAAATGCTCTATGCAAATAAAGACATCATAGACCAATCTAACCATTCTGAGCACCTTGCATGTATTTCCAAACATTTGTGATATGGATATTTTTAAATGAATATCACTAATAGTCCACAATCAAATTTTATTCAATAAGCAAGGTTACGACAAGGACATAGGCCATTCTTTTTTTTAATTTTTTCGATTTTCTTCTTCTATTGAAAACAGACTTTTTTCCCCTCACATCATGTATCTTGCTTATGGTCTCCCCTCACCCCACTTATCCCGATTGTTCCCCATTTCTTGTCTGGGTTCACCCAGGTTCTGTCTCTCATTAGAAAACAAATATGCTTCTTTGGAATAATATTAAAATAAAATATAATGCATAAGATAATAAAAGTTAATACATCAGATTTGGACAAAACAAAGAGAAGCAAAAGAGCCCAATGGGAGACAAAAGAAATAACTACTTGTTCAGCTTCCAGGAATCCCACAAAAACACTAAACTGGAAGCCATAATACATATGCAAAAGACCTGTAAGGGAAAAAAGAGAGAAGAAACAAATTTATATGTATATATATATATATATATGTGTATATATATATATATGTATATATACAAATTCCATCAAATCACATATTAGTAGGTTTGCCCCACAAACTTTGTACCACTGTTACCCTAGCATATCTTACAGGCAGAACATCATAGAAGATCAAAAGATTTGTGGCTGAGTTGGTGCTTTTGGAGAGAATTTTCGTGTATCAAAGATGCCATCTTTGGTTGTTTGGCCATTCTTGAGGGTGTAAGATAGGATCTAAAAGTGACTTTGATTTGTATTTCTCTGATGGCTAAAATTGTTGAACATTTCTTTATGAGTTTTGCAACCATCTTACTTTCTCTTTTGAGAATTATCTGTTTAGATCTGTACTCCATTTTTTAATGGAGTTATTTGTTTTATATCTAGTTTTTTGAGTTCTTTATATATTTTAGACATTAGCTCACTATCAGATGTGTAGTTGGTCAAAAATCTTTTCCCATTTTGTAGGCTGCCACTTAGTCTGAATGATGGTGTCTTTTGCCATGCAGAAGCTGCTCAGTTCCGTGAGGTCTTATTAGTTGTTGATCTAGTGCCTGTGCTAACTGTTCTCTTCATAAAGTCTTTCTCTGTGACAATGAGTGTAAGGCTATCCCCAGCTTTCTATAAACTATCCTGTTTGATCAGCAACATTTGTTGAAGATGCTGCCTTTTCCCCAGTGTGTGTTTCTGGCTTCATTATCAAAGATCAGTTGTCTACAGGTGTGTGGATTTATGTCTGGGTATTCATTTCTATTCCATTGATCAACATGTGGGGTTTTGTACCAGTACCATGCTGTTTTTATTACTATAATTCTGTAGTACAAGCTGAAATCAGAGATGCTAATATATTTAGCCGTTCTTCTATTACTTGAGATTTTTTTTAGCTATCCTAGTTTTGCTGTTGTTTTGTTTAGTGTGCATGTGTGTGTATATGTTTCTATATTAGTCTAAAAACTGTCCTTTCAAGATCTGTGAGGAAACTGTTGGAATTTCAATGAGGATGCATTGAATCTGTAGATAGTTTTTGGTAGGGTAGCCATTCTTACTATATTAATTCTACTGACACATGAGCATGGGAGATCTCTCCATCTTCTGATATCTTTTCTTCTGTTTCTTTCTTCATTGTCTTTAAGTTTTTCTCTTTCACTCTCTTGGATAGATTTACCCCAAGATATTTTATGTTATTTGAGGCTATTGTGAAAGGTGGTGTTGCCCTGGTTTCTTTTTCAGTCTGTTTGCCATTTATATGGGAGGGTTATTGACTTTTGTGAGCTAATTTTGTATCTAGCAAGTTTGTTGAAAGTGCTTATCATTTGTAAGAGTTTCCCAGTGGAATTTTTAGGGATACTCTGCATAATATCATATCACCTTCAAATAAAGACTCTTTGACTGCTTCCTTTATAACTTATGTCCCCTTAATTTCCTTGAGAAGATCAGTTGCCTACTTGCTCTAGCTAAGATTTCTAGTACTGTATTGAATAGCTGTGGAGAGTGTCTTGTTCCTGGTTTTACTGGAATTGAATTGAGTTTCTCTTCATTTAAGTTGATATTGACTATGTGCTGGCTGTACTCTGCACTTATGATGCTGAGGTAAGTCTCTTGTATCCCTAAACTCTTCACGGTTTTATTATGGTGTTGAATTTTGTCAAAGGCCTTTTCTACATCTAATGATATGAGCATGAGGCTTTTATCTTGCAATTAGTTTACATGGTGGATCACATTTACTGATTTATGTATGTTGAACCATTTCTGCCTCTCTGGAATGAAGCCTACTGGATCATGGTGTATGATCATTTTTTTATGTTATTGGATTCAGTTTGCCAGTACTTTTGTTGCAGGAGGAGGCCACTTGTTCATCCTGGCCGCCCAGAGCCAAAATAATCACAGAAGCTGTATTCATTAAATCAGTGCTTGGCCCATTAGCTCTAGCTTCGTATTGGTTAACTCTTACGTCTTAGTTAAACCCAACTCCATTAATCTGTCCATCACCATGAGGTTGTGGCCTACCAGTAAAGTTCCAGCACATCTATCACTGGTGGTGAATTCATGGCAGCTCTGACTCTGCCCTCCTTATCCCAGCATTCAGTTCGATCCTATTAACAGGCCAAGGCAGTTTCTTTATTCATTAACCAAGAAAAGCAATACATAGACAGAAGGACCTCCCAAACCATTTCCTCTCCTTCCCTGCAACATACATTATTGAGAACTTATGCATCTACTTTCATAAGGGAAATTGGCCTAAAATTTGCTTTCTTTGTTGGGTATTTATGTGGTTTTGATTTCAGAGTGATTGTGCCTTCATCAAAGGAATTGGGTAATGTTCCCTCTGTTTCTTTTAGGTGGGATAATTTGAGGAGTATTGGCATTATCTCTTCTATGAAAGTCTGGTAGAATTCTTGGCTAAAAGAATCTGACCCTAGACTTTTATTAGTTGGGAGACATTTTAGTATCCTTCTGTTTCACTAGGGGTTATAGGTATGTTTAAATTGTTCATCCACTCTTGACTTGACTTTCTCTAAGTGATATGTATTGAGAAAATTATAGACTTCTGCTAGATTTTCCAACTGGAGGAGTACAAGTTTTTAAAGTATGTCTTGATGGCTCTCTGGATTTCCTCAGTGTCTATTATGTCCTTCTGTTCATTTCTAATTTTGTCAACTTGTTATTCTCTCTCTGCCTTTTAGTTAATTTGGTTAAGGGTTTGTCAATTGTGATTTTCTCAAAGAACTAACTCTTTGTTTCATTGATTCTTTGTATTAGTTTTGTTGTTGTTGTTTCTATTTTATTGATTTCACCAGAGTTATTTATTGTTTTCAACTCCTTTTGAGGGTCATTTCTTCTTTTTGTTCTAGAACCTTCAGGTGTGCTGTTAAGTTACTAGTATAAGGTCTCTTTAACTTTTAATGTATACACTTGCCTCTTTGAACCACCTTCATTATGTCCCTTAAGTTTGGGTTATGTTATATATTGATTTTCATTCCGTTCTAGAAATTTGTTGTGGGGGGGGCTGCTTGTTTGTCCTGGCAGCCTGGCTAATTTAGCCCAGAAATAACTACACAGAAACTGTCAAGCCCTCTCAGCTTTTGGGTGGATTTAGTTGGCCATGTGGGCGCCAATTGTGGAAGGACACTTAAAAGAAATCGCACACTTGCTCAGAATTGAGAAGTAGATGGTTATTTATTTAGGGGTAAACTCACAAATCAGAATCCTCTGCTTGAATGGAGAACAGAGACTGAATCCAGCAACCATAAAGAGTGGCCAGAAAAGAGGGTAGACGTAGACTTTGCATCAGCATATATAGTATAAGAGGCCACACCCCAGTAGGTAGGTAACCACAAGCTGTAAGATTTTCTACAGCAGAAAGTCTTTAATTTCTAATTTCTTTCTTGATCAACTTTTCATTCAGTAGTGAGATGTTGAGTTTCTAAGCATTTTGATGTTATTTGTTTCTGCTGTTACTGGTATCCAGCTTTAATATGTGGTGGCTAGATAGGGTACAGGGTGTTATTTTGATTTTCTTGTATCTGTTGAGACTTTGTTTGTAACATCTGTCCAGGCCCTTGTGGCTTTGTGAGTCTCTGTTGAGAAGTCAGGTATAATTCTAGCCTTTGGTGTTACTTGGTCTTTTCTCTCAAAGGTTTTGTGTTCTGTACACTTAGAGTTTTAACTATTATGTGCCAAGGGACTTACTTTTCTGGTCCAGTCTATTTGGTGTTCAGTACCCTTCTTGTACCTTATAGGCAGCTGATTTTTTAGCTTAGGAGAGTTATTTTCTATGATTTTGTTGATAATATTTTCCATACCTTCACTTTGGGTTTCTTCTCCTTTCAGTAATTATATTATTTTAGATTTGGTCTTTTCTGTAGTGTCCCAGATTTCCTCGACATTTTGTGCAGGAGTTTCTGGGATTTAACATTTTCTTTGACCACAGTATCCATTTCCTCTACAGTATCGTCAATGACTGAAATTCTCTCTTCCATATCTTTTATTCTGTTATCAAGACTTGCCTCTGAAGTTCCTGTTTGAGTTCTTAAATTTTTTAATTTCAGATTTCTCTAGTTTGACTTTTCTTTATTGATTCTGTTTCTACTTTCATGTCTTGATCTGTTTTATTCATTTCTGTTTACTTCTTGTGTGTTCATAGATCTCTCTAAAGGATTTATTCATTTCCTCTTTAGGGACCTCTGTTATATTCATAAAGTCTATTTTAAGGTCTTTGTCTTATGATTCAGCTATGTTGCAATACTCAGGGGCTGCTGTAAGGGTGGCTGGGCTCTAGCAGAGATATATTTTCCTGGCTGTTATTGATTGTGGTTTTATACTGGTGTCTAGGCATGTGGGTTTTGGAAGATTGTAATTCCAGAAGCAGATGTTTGTTTTCTTCTTTGCTGGGTAAGCATTTTGTGTTTTGATTTCTTTTGTATTCTGGTTCTTTGAAGAGTGTTTTATGGCAGGAAATTCTTCTGGGATTTTGATAAGTCTGACTACTGGGGGTAAAATGTGTTTCTAGACTAGGGAGCTGACACTTAGGAATGGGGGTGGTCTAGGAGGAAGCGCTAAGGAGTCCACAGGCGTCCACAGGATGTAGTAAAGCAGGGCATTCCACCAGGATCTATCTATTTCCCTGGGAATAGAGACAAAGATGGATAGAGGCCACAGCAGGTGGTTTGCTGCACAACTGGCACTAAGACTCATGGGTTTGATTTGGAGGACTGGGAGGTAAACAGCTGCAGGTAGGCTATTTGCTTCCCTGGCCAGTTTGAGTTTCGGTATTCAAATATTCCACAAGGCCTTTCTGAAGTCAAACAGACACACACATTATTACACAAATTCTTCTATATTGATCTAACATTTGTATCAATTGGTCTTTATTAAGATGGAATTTTTATTATAATAAAGCCACATTTAAAAGTTCAATTTAATTTTTTTTTTCATCTAGCACTTTTTTGAAGACCCTGAAGGAAAGATTGAATTACCACCATCCTTGAAAATCTTTTCCTGGAAACGTCCACAAGATTTTATATTCAGCCGAGTAAGAATTGTTTTCACTATTGAATGAAATACTTATTACCTACAAGGATAGAATATCTTTGTAACCAAAGTTTGCATTCTTCAAGTAATTTACAGTGTTTCTCCTGTGATTTACAGCAAAATAGTAACTGCTTTTTAGCTTCTAACTCAGAAATTAATATTTGTCAGTATATTTTAATAATTCCTTTGCTGTTGGGACTATGGAGATGGCTCGGCAGGTCAGATACATTCTGTGCAAGCATGAAGGTATGGGTTCAATTCCCAGAACCCATTTTAAAAAGCCAGATGTGGCAGCATCAGCTTGTAAACACAGCACTGAAGAGCGAGACACAGGCTAATCTCTGAGGCTCACTCGCCAACCCGCTTAGCTGATTAAGTGCATTTAAGCTAAAGGTAAAACTCTGACCCAAAACTCAGAAAGTGACTGAGGGCTCTCTTCTCTCCACACATCCCACCCAGGTGTCGCAGCACACATACATGGACATGCACATTCTTGTATAGATTTGAAAGAGATTACTACATTTTGATCTACAGGCTTCATTTTCCCATTTCTATCCAAAATGTCAAATTGTAGCCAAACATGTTATTTGTTATTTCTGACTAGCTGATTTGTTCCACTCCGCATCTCAGTGTGAAATCCCAGGGGCGTGAAGGTCTCTTTCCCCCAGTGTTTATTAGAATTAATTTTCCAGTCCAAGAGATTTGCACATGGGTTCCCATATTCCAGGAATCCTCCAAGCATCTTCCAAAGCCTGTCTCTGTTTCTAGACTCCATGCTCAGTCAGTTGAATCATACATTTGCGGAGACACCTTCGTTTCAAACAGCTCTCACACACTTCAGAACTCTATAAGCTTTGGTCTAACACATTAATAGCCACATTAATTTGAGTGTAGTTCTTGTCTGCAGGGTTTTAATTATCTCTAATGTTTTTTCCCTTGCTGAATTTCTTACTGTTTTCATTGAATGAATGGGACACCAGTAGGGCAAATTAATTAGTACCAGTCACATAGCTTGTAATGGAGCCGATTCTTGTATGCATTTGTAGTCTTTGGAGCCTGTTTCCACACAGTGTAGTTAGCCTTCATCAGTGCTGGTATGAATGCAGGCAAATGTAAGTCAGTTCTTTTACTGACTGAAAACAAAGCTGCATCTACAGCCTAAGTGATTCACTGAAGCCACAGGGTCTTTCGAAGGCTTCCTTGTAAGATGTTTCAAATAAATCCATTGTGCACAAAACAAGCTTCTGAATCAATTTTAATTTCGAGCAACACTGACATGAATATAAATTTTCTGCCGTTCACATAATGCACTTGACATTGATAGGTATTTTAATAAATCTTATTCTGTTTACTGTAAATTCATCATAGATGGTCCATGTAAAAATGGTTTTATAAATTGAATAAATAAATGTTTTAAGAACACTTTCCTCTACTTTTTAATAAATGGTGGGTCTGAGATACATCTGTACTAAAAATCAATTCAGTCTTCCCTGTTAACCTCTCCATCTCTAGGGATCATAGCCCGACATCAGCCTGCACATGGCTACTGCTCCTCCACAAAGGTTCCGCTCTTAAGGGGTCATCCTAGAGTGGGGCCCAGAGCTTCCAGAAGCGAAAGTCCAACTACAGATATACACAGAGTAGGGGCTTCAAGATTTCATGTATAGACTCACAATAAGAATCACTAAGTATACTCGTAAGTAAGGCTAAAGCAAACAGAAACAATTCCATCAAATAATGACATTCTTATATGAGATTTGGTCTATGACATCTTCCTTCCCTCCCACTGTTTCATGAAGCTAACCTCATTTTTTTCCTTTTCTTTTTTAAAGTGCAGCATTTCACCCTTCCATTTCCTTTCACCAAATTCTTCCACACACCTCTCTTTTTAATAGTTGCTGTTATATGCATATATGGATGTGTAGGTACATGCTTATTCCTAAATAGCCTACTGAGTCTGTATTATGTTGCTCCTATGTATGCTTTTCAGTGAAATTCTTTAAAGAAAGGCCAGGTTGCCATGACCCCACTTCCTCCCCTCGGGAGCCACATTTGCCTGTAAACAAACGCCTGGTCAGCACTCTTGGTTTCAGGGATTTTTTTCACCACAACACCAAAAAGGGGTCCCCTTTCCTGCTGAGAAGGGGTCCTGATGCTCAGACAAATAGTTTGATTCCTCTGGAGGAATGGCCTTGTGTGCTGCTTGCCGAGATCAGGGTTTTTATTGTAAACGCTGTGCACCTGCTGTGATGGAATCTCAGCCTTCGACTTTGAAGGCCCTACCCTGCTTGTCTCACTGCGAGAGCCTTTCCAGTCTGATAGAAGACTCAATGTATTTGCTCTTGGCTTAATAAAGTGTGGCGATCTGGAATGTTATGGAGTAGATTTTAACATTCTGGACTTTTGGTGTTAGATTAGCAATTTGTGTGCTCTTCCCTGGAGACTATTTCGCCCACAAAACTGTATTGGAATAAGTTAGGTTTCTTTTACTTAAAAAAAAAAAAAACTAAATAAATATCTATGTCTACATTTTTCATTTCAGCCTCCTGTAGTTGTGAAAAATGAAATCATGTTTGACTTGTTTTCACCAAATGAACATTTGCTCTGCAGCGAGGTAGGTGGGGCCGCAGGGCCCACTACTCCATTGAAGAATGTCTTCCAGGCCTGCCTACATAAATACTTCCTGGACAGCCATTGGCAGCTCCCTCTTGTCCAGCTTTAAGTCACGAATTTTGTGGGGTTTTTATATTTTATTTTTCCAACTTCTTTGAAGTATAGCTATCAATTAAAAATTGTATTTATTTATGATTTTATAGGATGTAATTTTAGTGATTCAATGCATATAGACTATATAAATGTGTATATATATACCACATCACATATATACACTCTGCTAACTCAAGGACAATGTTAACCATTTTAGGACTTTTAATTTCTATTGTTGCCCTATCTTATGGAAACAAAATCAAGATATGATATTTTTTTCTGTATCTCAGAAATCAAAATTATATATATGTATACACACACTAAATGCAAAATTATTGCTCTTAGATACATATTTTTGTCATATTTCACCTAAAACTTCAGTACTCACCATTTAAAAATCAACCTATCAATAGTAGTAGCTTTCGTTGTTTTGTGTTCAGCTTATGAGGTGGATTATCAGTGAAATCTACGCCGTGTGGAAGATCTTCAATGGAGGGATTCTGCACAATTACAATAAAGGAAATTCAGGAGAGCCTCCTACACTGCTCTGGAAGCCCTGGGAACACATATACTCTCTCTGCAAGGCGGTGAAGGGCCACATGCCTTTGTTTAACAGCTATGGGAAGTATGTCGTGAAGCTTTACTGGATGGTAAGTCCTTCAAGCTGCCGTGCATCTGTCCTTCCTGTTAAGAAACAAGAATTAAATACAACAAACAAACAAACAAAAACCCTCTGTATTTAGTGCACTTAGGCAATCTCAAATTTTCTGTAGGAAGGTTTGCCTTCTATGGGATACGGTAGGAGTGGGACTGGACAGCCAGACTAAACGTGGAGTTCGTGATTTCCAATGGTTCTTCATGGATCTCAGCCGAAGAGCAGCTTGCAGGGGTGCTGCTCAGCGAGGAAGCCCTGAAACTCAGCGATTTCCACATGGGTTGTTTGTACCAGCGTGCTACACGTTAATGGCTACTTATTTTTTCCAGTTGATAGAAGAAGTCTGTCGTTTCTCAGCGAGGGAAGAACTTCTACCTCTTTCTAAGCAACCCCAAGCTGGGAGGGTCGATCTACACCACTGTGTGCGCATGACCAGAGTGAATACTTTCTGACAAGATATTCCCCCATCCTCTTCTCATCCATTTCTAGACACAAACCATTTACGTTTTGATTTTGAAAATTCTCTTCCAGTTCTCATGCAGTACTCATACTTGTCCATCCTTTGCTTCACCCTGCAAAGAGTTGGAAAACATGATCCTAAGGAGACTGCTTGGCTCCCTTCTGCTGACCAGCATGAGGCACGGCAGACACGATTTTGCACCCCATTGCTGTCCCTGTCCTTTGTCCTCTCCTCTCTGCTATGATGCTTGATTTTCAATCCCAGAAGGACTTCATTTCCCTGCCTTGTTACAGAGATTCCCTTCCTCCTTCTCAGGGGTTTCTCAGAGCCCTTTCCCACATGACTTCTTGAAGGCAACCCATTTCCTGGGGGCCTCTAATATTGAAGATTCTGATTTTTTTCAAAGCCGTCTTTAGTGATACAGGCCAGTCATCCCCCAGACTCAAGAGGCTAAAGCAGGAGGGACTGAAATTCAAGGCCTGTCTGGGCTACGGTTTAGGTTCAAGGCTAGTGTGGGCAATTTCTCAAAATAAAAAGTTAAACAAAGAAACAAATAAAAACCCTGAGTAAGCGTATGGCTAAACGTGCTTGACGAACTGTAAAGTTCTGGGTCCGAGCCCCAGTACTGGAACATCAAGGAACTAATTAATTGTGATTTCCACACCAGAGTATTATTTCTCAACAAAGTGTTCACACCATGCAGCCTGGATTCTCAGCTAGCTGTACAATGTTCCTTGACATCAGCCAGAGAGAAAACGTACCGATTGCACTGAGAACAGTGCGTAAAGGCGAGAGATTGGTTTTCTCTTCCATCTGGTTATAATGACAGGATGCAGGGACACACCACATCTTTCCAAGTACTTTCCAATTTTTGTGCTGTTTTGGCTCCCAAGAGGAGAGAAGGAAGCAATTTAGCTATTGTTTCCCACTTGCAATACAGCGTGTAGTAGGCAGCCGCCCTCTGCCTCGGTGCTTTCATTTCCCTCGGATAAGCAGAAAACACACACATGGAGGCCAATAATCCCCCTCAGTTGTTATCAGTGTACTTATGTGAAAACGTTTTCAATTTTATTCTTCACTGAGATTTATTGGTTCGTTCACACTATCTAATTTAGAGTTTCTAGAGGTACAGCAAATCTCCAGCACAAACATTTGGGGACTTCACACCCCTGCTTCCCATGCCCCACCCCTCTCCTGGACCAACCAGCTGAATCCACCTGGGAGCAGAGGCAGCAATATTGTTCTGTTTTCTGCTACATTGTTTTTGAGACTGTGTCTCATTGCACTGGCTGGCCTTGAACTCACTATGTAGGATGGCCTTGGATTGTCTTGTCCTCATCTCCCATCTGCTGAGATAGCTGTATCTGCCACCAAGCAACACTTGCAACCCTGCTTTTAAAATAAGTTCTCAATGATATTTTTATTAATTAAATTCAATAAACAGTGCATTCAAGATATTAAACAATGAGCTGGGCAGTGGTGGTGCAGGCGCATGACTTTAATCCCAGCACTTGGCAAAGAGAGGCAGGCGGGTCTCTATGAGCTTGAAGCCAGCCTATTCTACAGAGTGAGTTCCAAAATGGGTTAAAAAATATTATTGAACAATAATAACAATTTTTTTATATTTCTTGGTTACTATATCCCCCCAAAGAAATGCAACATTTAAAGTTTATTATTACTATATATGCTTCTAATGGGAAAATTCAAATACTATTAATATAGTCAATATAGAAAATCAGAATTCGTTGTAATATTAGTATATTTAGACAAACACAGTCAAGGATTCGGATATTTTTTCCTGCATTTTCCTGTTTTTTTGTTTTTGTTTTTGTTTTTGAGTCAGGGTTTCTCTGTAGCTTTGGAGCTTATCCTGGAACTCACTCTGTAGAGCAGGCAGGCCTTGAACTCACAAAGATTTGCCTGTCTCTGCCTCCCACGTGCTGGGTTAAAGGCATGTGCCACCATCGCCCGGCTTCCTATGTGCTTTTCTGTTTTTGTTTTTGTTTTTGTTTTTTGAGACAGGGTTTCTCTGTGGTTTTGCAGCCTGTCCTGGAACTAGCTCTTATAGACCAGACTGGTCTCGAACTCACAGAGATCCGCCTGCCTCTGCTTCCCAAGTGCTGGGATTAAAGGCGTGTGCTGCCACCACCGCCCGGCTTCCTATGTTCTTATAAGCGTACATAGACATACTGTATACCATAATGCTCAAATGATGCAGTTCTAGAAACTGCCAACTCATTTAATCATGGGCATTTTCTATGATGATATATTCTTGTACATTCTATACACACTATCCTGTGGATATATGCAAATGTATGCAAATTTATATTAAATTTTCATTAATTAATGCTTAGGCTATGGCCAGCGTCTTACCTATACAAACAAGACTGCTCATGAATAGCCTTTTATGTAGGTCTTGTCCAATAGAATGGTGTTTTTTTTTCTCTAGTATTTCTGCAAGTGAAATTACTGTTATGAGTGTGAAAATGTTCATTTTGATGAGTATATTCAAATTACTCCTTTTAATTTGAGTTTAAAAGTCATTTATACTAGATAGAATCACAAATTAATTTTCCATTTTACTCTTTTTTACCCCTTTCGTTTTGAAATTTGTCTAACTCTTCTGACTTCCTGTGTTTCCTTGAGCTTTCTTTGGGATTCTGTTTCAATTTTTCTGTCTTATTTTTGTTGTTGTTGTTTCTGCATATACTCAGTATATATTTCCAGATATTAAAATATACACACAAAGCTTTACATAGCCCTTAATATCAAACAAAGAAGACCATGCCATGATGGGCCAGCAAGCAGAGAAAGGGAATCTTGTCTTTGGTTGGCTTCCCTCTTCCCTCTCTTTGATGCTACTCAGACCCCCCCATTTACTACCACCTACATGAGGGTGGGTCTGGTCATTCATCTTCTTTGGAAGCATCCTCTTTAATACATTCACAGGAATGCCTAACTAAATTCCCAGGTGACTCTAAGTCTAGATGTGTTGACAATGGAGGTCAATGATCACAGGGGACACCTCTTTAGAGGTAGATTTAAAAATTTTTTGAAAATGAGATTTTTGAAGAAATGATAGGGTGCTAATAAAAATTTAAATATTTAATATATGATTTACATAAATAGTAAAATAGCTAAGCCAAAAATCATTTAGCATTCAATGAGGAGTTCTTAAATTCTATTTTCACATACTTATATTTATTTAAACTTCTATAATAAAATACTATATACCTTGATATGCAGTGTAACTTACCAACAACAGAAATTGCTGAAAATCCAAGTAACCAGATGATTGTATAACCTCATATGACACAAGAGAACTCAAATCTTTATTAATTTATAAGGACACAAGTAGTTTTATGAACCCACAACCCTTATAATTTAATCGCCAAGGCCTCACCCCAGTACTAACGTATTGACTGTTAAAATTTCAACATACTTTTTGAAGGCAAAATAACCATCTATAGAAATTACCTATGTATACACAAATAGTAGAAATGATTGAGGAAGGGGTCAGCCAAAGTATAATATCAGTGAACCAAAATATTAACAGGAGGACAAGTAGAATGTAGTCAAATTATACTTCAAAAATATACACAAAACTGAATGTTCATCCTGTGATATAATAGACTTTTCATGCAATAGTCTTTCTGAAATATAATTGCATACACTGTAATGTGCACAGTTCAATAATCAAAGCATTCTAAGTTGAAACTATCTCTGCACATCTGAAAAGAGAAGGTACTGTTGAGCTGCTTTAAAATAATTACTGAGGATAGTTTAAAATTCTTCTTTCATGGGAATCCAGCTGGCCATTTGGAAACATGGTTTGCAATCAAAGTGTGGGAGGGGATCTACCGCTGTTCTTTCTTTATTGTGGCAAAATATGCCAACTCGACACGCTGTTTTAACCATTTAAGGGTAAAATTAAGTTGGCATCAAGCATTTTCACAGTTTGTGAACACTGTCACTACTTATTGTCTGAGATTCCCATCATCTGAAGCAGAGACTTTGTACTCACTAAATGATGACTTCACACTGCTCCCCACTGTGCTGCTTGGTGACCGCTTTCTATCCCCACGAGTGCCCTAATTTCATCTCTGTGTTTGTAATAATTTATACTGGCAGAGAGCAATATAGGGGAGAATGGTTTATTTGACTTGCAAATTTTACAGATTATAGTTTGTCGTTGCATGGAAGCTAAACAGGAACTCACAGCAGCAAGTTACATCGTATCCATATAGCCAAGAAATGAAAGAAAGAAAGGAAAGAAAGAAAGAAAGAAAGAAAGAAAGAAAGAAAGAAAGAAAGAAAGAAAGGAAAGAAAGAAAGAGAAAGAGAAAGAAAGAAAGAGAAAGAGAAAGAGAAGGAAGGAAGGAAGGAAGGAAGGAAGGAAGGAAGGAAGGAAGGAAGGAAGGAAGGAAGGAAGGAATAAATATGTAGATACTTTGGTTCAGCTAGCTTTCTCTGTGCATAGTTCATGGTTCGAAACACAGAATGGTACCGCCACTTTATCTGGCAGTAAAAGTTCCCCACAGGCCAGCTTGATTTTGACCGTCCCTCGCTGACACCCGCTTTCCAGGTAGTTCTAGGCTGTGTCAAGTTGACAGCTAAAATTAGAACTGTGACTGAAATGTAAAATGAGCAAAAATGAATAAACAAACAAATGAATTTTCAAACAAAAAATTAGCCATCACAGTAAGCCTGCCTTTTTTGTCTTCTTGTATCTACCTTATTTCTCTGTGAATTTATTGTTGTTATTTCACTTAAAGTTACATTAGTGGAGATGGGGTGCCTTTAATCTATAACATTTAACCTTTAACTCTGTCTTACCCTTCTCCATCTATGGAGGAAGAAAGAGACAGATACAAACTACTACATAAGTTAATATTGAACTCAGAGTTAGGAGCGCCATATAAGAAAAGTATTTCACTTTCTCATGATTTCCCTCTAGAAAAATGAGTTGCATTTTTCCTCTTGTCCTAGAGTGTTTTGAATATACTATGTTTTATATTATTCATATATACTCATATATAAAATAATATAACAATATAATAATAAAAACGAATATACACACATATATTATTAATAAATATCATTTATATATTATACACACACACACACACACACACACACACACACACATATATATATATATATATATATATAGGCTTTCTCTACAAGACCATAAGTATTTAATGGCAATAGCATCATGCCACTATGACTATTATGGGGCTCACAATGCCTGATGTTACTATTGAAAATATTTGTTAACACGAGAATGAATTCATAAGAATCTAGGCATGTAAGCTAAAACAAAAACAATTATAATTTGAGCTTGCTTGTTTCATGCTTTTAATTATGAAATGAAGAGCTTTTATTTAAGCATATAATGGTTTGATTAAAGAAATCATTAATTTATTTCATGTTGAAAATTAGATCATTAACTAGGAGTACTGAAAATATGGGATTGGAAGTCTATGATTAGTAAGTACGTTTCTGGATAAGTAATAAGTATTAAAGTGATAGTGAAAGGATTTGTACTGTGAGTAAGCATAGTATATTATGTGCAATCTTATTTCTGGTTGAATCATGTCTTCAGTTTGTTATTTGATATTTATTTACTTTGCAATATGCTTATAAGACCTCTAATATAAGGAACAGTATTGATATCACTATAATTATACTATTATAATTTATTTCAAAAGTAGTCAACCAGATTAGTTCTGGAACCTGTATCTTAGCTTTCTAACATAAGATGTTAACACCAGGTGTTTGTTTGTGTAACAAAAATGAGCAGAAATATGTAGTAATGTCTGAGGGGGAGAACACTGTAAAGCACTGATGACATTACCTGTGACATTGCATTGCTTTCTTCTCATGTTTAGGGTTGCTGGAGAAAGATAACTATTGATGACTTTTTTCCATTTGATGAAGATAACAATCTCTTGCTTCCAACTACAACCTATGAGTTTGAACTCTGGCCAATGCTGCTGTCTAAAGCCATCATTAAGCTGGCAAATGTTGAGTATGTAATGAAAAACTATCTTGTATTTATATGAAAATAAAAGGGCACCTACATCCATGCTGAGAGCCTTTAACACTTTAATTCAAGGAATTTTTTTTCTTGTAATTATGTAAACTTCGAAGTATAAAAATTAAGGTGATCGATGCACTGGTTTGAAGTATTGGCTTAACTGGGTAAAGAACAAAATCATCCCAAGAAAGAAAAGAATAATCAAAAATTATTCTATTCTCAATGCTTCCTTACTAGGAATGGAAAGTATATCATGGAAAATATTTTATGCTAGTGAGGTAAATTGTTTATTAGGGGAAAATATTAAATCATCTAAATGATGAATAATATACACTAAGATCCAATTAATGATTTAGAATCTATATATGCAGCAATACTGTATAAACCTTAGAAAGATCTGAACTCATCAGAAGGATGCCAAAATAGGCTTCAGGCTTTTGTTCCCTTTAGCTCCTTGATAGCATCATGATGAAAACTCCTCCTTTACTTCAGTATGTTTGCAAAATGTGTTTATATTTATCTCTCTACAAGACTTTGCACTCAACATACAAGTCTGCCATGCCCTGACGGGCAGGTCTTTCTTCCATCTGGTCCTTTCGGGATAACGCAGAGTGATAACAGGGCTCAGATACCTGAGTAGATGCACTTGGCATCTGCACAACTCAGTGGGCCATCCTCTCTCTCGCTGCAGGAGCCTGATCCCATAACCTCCTGCAGTGTGCCATAGAAACTCCATTCTCCGCAGACCTCACCCTCCTCCTGTCCACCTGTGCTCAAAGCCCAGCCCCTCCCCTTCCCTCAGAAGCATTAGCAATACCATTGAGAAGTCAGGGCTGCTTTGTGTAGATAGCCCTTTGACTGGCCTTTCTTTTGTCTCTCAGGGCTACCTAACAAAACAGCCACCACTACTGCCAGCCTCCTCCTGATTTTTCTTGCCAGCTCTCAGTTTCTACTGATAATTTGTTTCACTCAGCTTTCGGTCCTCCATTTCAATGATTTTTTTGTAAAACTTTTGCCAAGATTTTTTTTGGGGGGGGCAGCTACATATTTCTAAGTATTTCTATTGGTGGCAGTTGTGTCTGTTTGTTTGGGGAAAAATAAGTATAATGCTCTTTATGTTCCTGAGAATTGGAGCTGAAAGGCTGGCGCAACATTGAATAGATGACCCGGATAGCTGCAGCAATACTTCATTTGCTGTAAAGCCCATGGTTCAGTGGAATTCATTAAGAACATGACTATTAATAGAGTTATTCTTTTAAAATGAATAAACAAGGCCAGCTTGAAAAGAAAAGACTAATAAGTAGAGTACATTTTTAGAGATTTCTAGTAGAAACTGCCTCAAATGATGTCCTTCATATTTTTCTGTAAATTCACCTCAGATTTGATTTTATATGTGAGGCTTAGCGTTCCACAGACAAACCTAATATATTGTAGTGATTTACATACCCATGTGGAATATGGAACAAAAAGAGCATCATTTCCATAAGGCTTACAAAAGTCACTCATAAAATGAAATTACCAGAGGCGTTTAGGGGAGACAGTGAACCACACACCAGATTTATGTTGTCTTTGAGAAATGTAGAGGCATCAGGATTCATAACCCATAAAATAAGCCAGTGTGAATCCATAAACAGTGGCTACACCACTGACAAGCTGTGAATTCTTTCAAATATAAGGATGTGTGTTGGTCATTCAGCTTCATTAGCACCATGCTTGGCACAGGGAAGACTGTGCCTTCACTTTGGGGTGGAAGAGGCTATGGTATTGCTCTACATATATGAATATACATGTAAACACACTAACTGCCCACAGAAATCACTCATAGGCAGACAGACCAAAGCAGAGCATGGCATTTGGCCAAAGACAACCTCCGACTATGTCATACTGCCAGGTCTACTCCTTTGCAGGATGGACAATGTATTTCTGTTTTCTCTTCCACTGGCAAAGTTTCACTAAGGACTCCTCATAGTTATCTTGGCATCTCCACATAATCTCTGCAATTGCGATGGTAAAACCTCTCCACTTTGAAGAGAACACATTCACACACAGCGCATAGAAATGAGTTTACAAAATTTTACACTATTTAATACGAGCATGTTTTATATTTAGGAAATTGATAGAAGAGCTTTTAAAGAAATAGTTCCTAGTATGTGACTCCCTTGTTAAAACAACAAAAATCATATATTCATGTTTTCAAAATTAATTTGAAAGCTTAGTATTGGGTCTACTTATGCCTTTTTGTAAACAAATTAAAAGCATCTGGCTTGTGAGATAGCATTCTATTACTCTGTGATGTGCAGCGGGTATGATCCCCTACATTGATTACCATGATGCTGTGTAGAGTGTTTCCTAGTCTTTATTTACTGCTGCGTGTTTCTAATCGTTGATAACTATAGCACCATGCATTTCCTTTCAGCATCCATGTAGCTCAGAGGCGAGAGCTGGGAGAATTTACAGTTATCCATGCGCTTACTGGATGGTTGCCTGAAGTCATTCCTCTTCAGTAGGTTTTTATTTTTTCTTAAAGAAACATTTACTCATTATTTGTTTCTTTGTTTATTGGGGGTGGTTATGGAGTGGTGTGCCAAGGTATATATGTGGATGTCAGAAGAGAGCGTGAGGGCTCCAGGGCTTAAATTAGGTCATCAGGCCTAGCAGCAAACATCTTTTGCCTAATGAGCTATCTTATCAACCCCTCTCCACTAGGTCTAAAGACTAAGTTTCTCATATAATTTTTTTTTCGTTCTTTCCAACATTTCTTTATAATATTCTTTAAGAACATTACAAGAACGGTTATGTTTTTACAAAATGTTTGGTAGCATAGCATTTTATAGTTTTTAAAATTCCTGGGAGTTTTAGGGTAAATTATTCCTTCTTATAAAGCAGACTAACTCACAAGATTCTCTGTTGAATCAAGGAAAGACTAATTATAAATCAAGCAATCGAGCAAAATATGTTTGTGTTTTTCTACCTGCAAGACTCATGTACCCAGTACACAGAAGGCCAGTCTGCCATGTTGTACAGACAAGCCTTTCTTCAGTTCTAGTCTTTATAGTGCAACTCAAAATGCCAGTGAGGCTCAGATGCTGGGGTCGACGTACATGACAACTATGCAGCAATGCTCTATGGGAATATCCTCACATATGCTGCAAAAGTCTGATCCCTTACCTTCCTGCAGTGTGTCACAGCAGCTCTGTCCTCCAATTCACCCTCCTGCTTTAGCAGTCCCTGTCAGTCCTGTGCTCAAAGCTCAGCCCTCCCCACCTGCTGAAGGAAGTGTAGCTTTTTGTTAGGTATCTTCACACATACAGGGAGACTCCAGGTACTTAAATAGATAGCTCTGAACTGAAGCTCCTACAGCATCTTCAGGAAAAAAACATGTATTGTTAGGGAAATGTCAGGACAAGGGGAAAAGACCTGAGTTGCTTCAGGTGGCTATCTTGGGAAGGCAAATAGGTATCCTGAGAGTACAGATTAACACAGCTTTCCCTGTAGGTCCCACTCAGTCCACAGTTGTCTTCAGTGGTCATTTTTTTGCCTGCTGTGCTTGGCACAGTGACACCAAATAGTGTGTGTCCTTAACCAGTGTCTGGGAGTTGGGTTAGTAATTTGTAAAGTGTTTCAAAGGCTTCCTAGAAATGTATAAACAATTCTTTAGGCTCTCAAAGCAGAAGCATGTAGCTTACTTGCCTCATCCCCGGACTCCAAAGGATTCATTGAAATTAATGTTGTTGACTAGTGTGGGAAAATCAACTCAGAACAGACAGAATAACAAGGAAGTAGGATAGATATGAATAATCCCAGAAAAGTGTGTGATTGTGTAAAACTGTACTATATGCTAGGGAATTGTAGAGGACCAATGGCATACTGATCAGGGAGGTGCTTCATAGTTAAAGGCCTTTGATACTATCTTAAAAATTCTTCCACATCTTCAGAGAGTGAGGATATAACTGGAAAATTTTAATCAGGAGGATGCCTTTGTGTGCATATGGTATTTATACATGGATAATAAACATACACATTTAAAGTATATGTATATCTATGTATTTATATATGCATATATAGCATATGCATGTATATCATATAGACACACACACACATATATATATAAATATATATATATATATATTTCACCTGCCATGATTTTAGCATGCCTGTCTTCTCTGCCAAACCCCAGTGATGCACTAATTTTGGTCTCTTTATCATCAAAGACTGACAATAGTAGGAATGCATTAAAAGCATGGTCAATGAATGGTATTGCTAAATAAAGTTGAGGTAGAAAATGAAATTAGTCTAATAAACTAAGAAGTTAACCAGTCTGTTACTAGCTTCTCGATGTCAGGTAGAAAACAGGCATCTGAGAATTAATGCCAGTGCTTTTCCTCTAAGTCCAGGGTATGTGGACAGAGTTTGGGAGCTCTTGAAGGAAATATTGCCTGAGTTTAAGCTCACAGAAGATCCCAGTTCTGAAAGCAAAATCACAACGGTAGACAACAAACTGAAGGAACCCGGGAAAGAGACAAAGGATGTCAAGGAAGTGAAGGATGGAAAGGAAGTGAAAGAGGGGAAGGATTTCAAATCGGAAAGTTCCCTTACGACCCTGAAGGCTCCAGAGAAAGGCGACAAATCTACCAAGGGTAAGATACGGGAAGTCGTGACCAGGCCATGACTGAGATGCCTTACAGCCTCTGTTGAGGCTAATGATACTTTTTTGGTGTTGCTACCATTTCTTAACTCTCTCTTTGAATTTTAGAATTCTCAGTGATGTGAACTGCAGATAATTATTGCCTCGTTACCTCCCTTTCAGTAAATATCAAAGGCGACTCTCAATTTTGCTGATATTAAATTCCTGTTGTGTTAGAAGGAGGCAAGATACTGAAGTCTAATCCCTACTGGAATACCTTTCTCATATTTATGTGCAGAGTGGGGTTGACCCCCACAGCGAAGCAGGAAACTGACCTTTTATGTAGCCTATGCTCATATCACATTTTCAGAGAATGTGGTATGAGCATAGGTTACAAAAATTAAAACTATTATAAGATGGTGGTTCTAATCTGAAGAAAAATAATTTCAAATTATTTTTACAAAGTATATAGTTATTTCTATTTTCAAGATGAAAAGTTGATTGAATAATTGCTTGTTCTGTGTCTACTGAACTATTTTATAATTATGTATATGAAGAAACTACTTGTGAAGTAGAATTAAATCTACTAGGAAGTACTTAGGTTTTTCTGTATATTTCCGTTAAATGTTTCTTCAGATATTTTATGTTTTATAAAGTATTAACATTTTGTCAGAATTATTCTTTATCAAGATTGTTTCTAACTGAGAAGGGAGGGAGAGAGACAGGAGATCACAAATTGTAGCCAGCTTGGGCAACCATGTGAGCTATGGTGAGACCCTGTCTGAAGAATCCAAAGCTTATAACTCAGTGCTATAACACTTGCCTAGCATAGGCAAGGCTTTAAGTTTGATTGTCAGATCTAAACACGAAAAGAAAAATTGATAAAAGATCCTATCTGCTAGTATATGTTACCATTATTATACAAAAAATTTTATTTTATATCTTCAAAAATATATCAAGATCAGAGGCATGAACAATGTGTGTCCACTCAGGCCTATTTTGATGAAAATAAGCAATAAACAAATGTGAGTGGATTTATTTTTTCAGTATATTTTCAATTAATTTTCTTCTAGAAGTCCTTTTTGATGTTTTACAAGTTAATACTCAGGTATCCAATCATTAATACTCACCTAAATATATCCTTTGCTGACAAAAGTACAGGTAATTTTCTAGGAATTAGTGATAAACATGGTAAACAGAAACAGATGTGGAAAAACCCACATTCTGAACCTGATGGTCCAGAGGAAAGTACTGACTAATAAAAACGAAGCTATGCTAACCTGAGGTTGAAAAATAAACTTTAAAGATAAATACAGGAAGCTATGGCAGTTATTAAAGGGGACTGTTGTAGCCTACAAAGATGAGTGAGAGTAACTCATTGAAGAAGACGGCTGTGGCCAGGACCCTGGTGGCAGAGGAGAGCCAGCACAGAGTAGGAGACACATGGAGGATGGCAGTGTATTGGAGGGCAGGGTGCAGAGGTGTTTAGATGAAGCAGCGTGAAAGGATCATTGGTTTAGGAAGAGCTGGGTTGGAGCAGCAGTGGTCAGCTTGAGAGTTCTAGGCCACGTTAGAGGTCCTGTCTTCATGTAAGCGTTAATGACCTATTGTCGGCCAGTGGAGAGTTTGGAGGAAATCAAGATCGAATCTGCTTTTTTCAAAAGATGGTTTCGGCCATCACTAACAGGAATATTTGGGAGGAGGGGTGCTGAGAGGGGATCAGAGAGGAAATTCTGGGCAGATGTAGATTAAACCAGTTTGAGAATTGTTGGATCAACTCATGTTAGATTAAATGGCATCTTGGAAGAGAGAAAGTGGATAGGCCTAATAAGACTGATTCAAAAAGGAAAAAAAAGTAACTAGAAAAGAGTAGAACTTGGTTTGTTCAATTTATGGAATTCTGAGTTGTAAAACTGGATAGATGGTGAGGTCTACCAGAAGGCACTTATAGAATGATTTTGGTCATATTTTAATCTGAAATGCCTTAAAGATAATCATTGAATTTTTAATATCAAAAGTCCCAAACTGTGTATTTAGGAGACTTTCACAGGTGCACTGTGATATTTCTCAAAAATACAGCATGGACTAAGAGGTAGGAACTGAGTCCAGAGATCATAAAGATCTGAGAATTGGTACCAATGACTGACCGATGAGGGAGAGAAAAGAGTAGCTGGAAAAGTGGAGCAAGAAAAGACGAGTGTGGTAGCCTTGAAATCAAGGGTGAAGTTCCTTCAAAATCCTATAGTGAGGTGAACTGTGATGTTCACTTCAGTTTCTCCACTAGACTGTTGGTTGTGGGAGTTAGTGGACATTGGGAATGGAGCATATGGAAAGCTGTGGAAGAGAGCCAAAGACACAGGACGAAATATAATGTACAGACAAGTCTGCGAGAAATTTGGCTTTGAATAACAATAGAGCAATAAACGGGAAGCTGCTAGTCATCAGCATGAGATACACAGAATCTATATCGGTTAATTTAGTGAGGGAAAACGTGGTGGTTCCCAGGGTAGCTCTCTAGTGCGTGGCGGATTCCATTCTTTCTCCCTTCTCAAGAAACTGACACCAATGCTCTCATTTAAGCTGGATATTCCCAGGAACCACATAGAACGGTTGAGTTCTCCTCAGCTATGGGAACAAGTGCTCCTTCTTTCTAATGTGTAGGCACAGGCCATGCAGCCATGGGGTGAACAGATACAAGGGTAGGTAGGTAGACAAGCTTGGTCTGGAAGAGGCTGAGGATTTATGACACAAAGATTCGAATATTCTCTGGTTTTAGGAAGCCTAGCTGTGAGCTGAGAATGAGGTTGAGATGGGAGATGGAGACTTGGTGGAAATTCATTAGCAATGTAGTGATATTTGTAAAACTAGGGAAGAATAATATCCAGTACATTCAGCTGATAAGTTAGTTATGGTGAGGCTAACAAAATCATGGAATTAAATGACAGATAACATATTAGTCTAGTGCTAAACACTAAGCCATTTTTATTTACATGTTTTTATGAGATATATTATAAATAAAATTCTAAATAGGAGTTTGAAAGTAAAGTTCAGTTTTAAAACTGTAACTGAAATCACATATTGCTGCACAAAATTAGCTTAAGTTGTGTCAGTATTTATAAAAAATAAAAGTTTATTATCCTAGTTTTTAATCCTTAAATTTCTCAAACAGCTTAACCTACATTTGAAGTTTATAATATGTCTAACATATATTTTAAATCTATTCTAAACACCATGAGACAGGTTTATTTTCTATGCTAAGAGACATCAGAAGTAGTTGAGGTCATATTTTTAATAACTGCCCTCTTTTTAAAAAAGTGATCAGGCGACAAATGAGGGTTATAAATTTAACAGTTGATGTAGATAATCTAAACTTTCATTCCAAATTAAAGAGACTTATTAGGCAACAAAAAAATACTTCACAGTTTAAAAAAATTAAAGTCTTTTCATGGAACTATGCTCATGAGTAAAAATTCAAATGGTGGGGATAGCTCGGTAGATGGTTTATTGCACAAGCCATACTGGAAACAGGTGGTTGTTTTGTGGGTATTGTTGGATTTCATTCCCATAAGAGGATGCTTTACTGAAAGAAAATGGTATTTGTTCGAGCTAAAGTCCCCAAGTAGGGTAAATTGAGAAGGTCTTGTATAGATAGAACTAAACTTGCAATGCATGATGTGCTGTTCTTGTTCGTTTTCACTTTAAGATGAGAAAACTAACCTGACATTGCAATTAAATATAAATAAAATATATTCAAGGGCCTGAAGAAATAGCTGCCTGGTTAAGAGCACTTTCGGCCAAGCATGAGTATCTGAGTCTAGATCCCCAGGATCTGAGTCTAGATCTCCAAGATCTGAGTCTAGATTCCCCAGGATCTGAGTCTAGATTACCCACATTCTGAGTCTAGATTCCCCCAGGATCTGAGTCTAGATCCCCAGAATCTGAGTCTAGATCTCCAGTATCCACATAGAGAGTGTGGGGCTGCCTGTGTAACCCGAGCACTGTTGGGGGCAGAGACAGGAAGATGTATGGAGTTTGCTAGCCAACAAGTCTAGATGAAATAGTAGGTTCCAGATTCAGAGAGAGAGAGAGAGAGAGAGAGAGAGAGAGAGAGAGAGAGAGAGAGAGAGAGGAGAGAGAGGAGAGAGAGAGGAGAGAGAGACTCTGTCTCAGGGAGTAGAGGAGAACGTGAGCAGGGCACCAGCACCCTCCTGTGCGTGTACTTGGGCTCCACAGGTACTCTTGCTCATAGTACACAAATGCATTCAAGTCACTCTCCACATGCAACATAAAACTGGATATAATAATTTAATTATTACACACAATATTAACTAATTCTGCCCCGATTTCGCAGCCCATGTTAATTTTTAGAATTGTTTTCTCTCATTTAATGTGGTATCGATCAGAGGAGATTACATTTTGGGAGAAATCAAGGCTGCAGGTTTACATTTAAGTACTATTTTACATTATTTACATTAAGTACAGTTTTACATTTAAGTTTTGACCTTCTTAGGACACACTGGCTGAATATGTAGCACAGCCTGAGGTTTTCTAGATAAAAGATTTACCATTTTTTCCTTAATGTGTTAGAGAAAGCAGATGCAAAAGACCTTGGCAAGAAGAGGAATAAGGATGGAGAGAAGGAGAAGGAAAGATTCAAATTTTCACTACATGGTTCGAGACCCTCATCTGATGTTCAGTACTCTATGCAGTCCTTGTCAGATTGTAAGCTCTCAGTCTCTTACAGTAACTACCTTAGTCTCTGCCTAAGCTGATGGAAAATGTTGGAATGTAGAATAGTACACTCTCTTTTGACGTGTCTAAGTAAGCATGTTCAAGTTTTCCCTCCAACTTCGGTTCCTTTGTGTAAATGATGGGTTTGTATGTTGTTAGGGGATGAAAACAAAAGCAAAATTTCCATTGACAAAACCTCATCTTTTAAAAATAACTAAATTCTGCTTTTCCCCCTTTCTTTGTCAAAGTAAAAGAAATAGCACCCCTTGCCTTAGAACTCAT